TGCCTAGACACCTTGGAAGCCCCCTCTACTAGACACTGTTGGTCTCCCCCCTCCCCCCTTTATTTGACCAGCACACCACCCTCAGCTGTTGTGAGTGTTGGCTGATAGCAGCTTGTGGATCCACCCTTCTCCAGAGAATTGCCCTCCCCAGGAAACTGCCCAAAACTACCTGGGAGGTTTACTGCACACCCCCTGCCTCCACCCACCCAACCAGGGAACCAGTGACTGACTGACACGGGATACAAAAACCTGTCCCCCTTGTCTCAGCACCCTTCGCTTCTGAAAGGGTTCCGGCGTTCAGCCTCCAGTCATGTCTCAGTCCTTTGGTTCCGTGGGGAGGAACTTTAGTTCCAGGTGTTATTTTAGGTCAAAATTTTCTCCTCTGGGCATGCTTTGGCCACATGACTTGTGGGTTTTTTTCTGCTGTCTCTGAAAACAACTCAGTACCTTTTTAGAAACAGGATAGGGCTAGTTTGGGCTGGTTCAACAGTTATAAGGAGCATCGACTTTGTGGTGCCGCTCACACTCCGGGGCTCCCCAGCAAGCTGAGGCTAGATTTCAGCAGAAATCTCATTGTGTTTAGCTTTTTTGTTTGTTTACTTTTTAAGCTTTCCTTTCAGGCTCCTCTTCCGCTACTCTGTCAGCCGCCACTTTGTATTTTTCCCAGATTGACCACTTGTAACAAATCTCTGTCTCTCTGGCTTTACATCTTCTGAGAATCTGGACACCAGATGATTGTTAAGATGCAAAACAAGGGCTGGCAACACTTGGCATGAGAGCTACTCTTCCCCAACCAATCATCACTAAAAGCCTGGTGGTCTTAGAATCCTTCACAAAAGACGCTCCCAGAAGTGCCTACCAATTGATAGAATTGGCATGGGAGCTGAAACCTATCTGTCATGGGATGGTGGTAGCAGTCAGGTCCTGCAAAAAATAAATGGCACCTCAAACTTGGTGATGTGAAGAGAGTTTATGAGAACAAATCTCTGACCTCATCTCCCTCCTCTATTTCAGTGTCCTTCCAGTGTTTCCTATTGGCTGACCCCAACTGGAATACAGAAGGCAAGATAGATCTCTTTGGTGCAGTCCATACAGATCCCTCTCCCAGGGCACAGAGCAGGATGGAGATGGCTGGAGAAGGGACACAGGCACCAGAAAACCTCTGACTCAGAGGGGAAATGATCTTTCTAGGGTACTGGAGAACCAGAGGCAGAGCTATTATTTGGGGATACCTGGCACTGACTGTACACTGATGTGTCCTGCTGATGCTGAGAATGGTTCAAGGACCAGGAAACCTGGTATCTGTAAGCCTTCCGTTAAACGGAATGACCTATGGTGTTAGTGTAAGTTCTAGAACGGTGATTGAACACTTAGCATAAAAGGACAGGATTTTAGACAGAATTATGTTTCCAGGTAGAAAACCCCACCCTGTCTGGACAGTGTCAGTTTTATTTTCTTGCCCCTATCCCACCTCTGCTCCCAGGGACCCTGGGTCAAGGAAAGCCATGCTGAAATATGTTACATCTGTTCCTGCTCTGTGGCTTCCTGATGTCCTATGAGATTTTGTATCCTTAGCTAATTAAATGGGAATTTGATTTAACCTTTTATCATGAGTATATGTGGGTGTGGTTTTCTACTATCAGACTAGAGTCCAGGAGAAACATTTCTCCATCTCTGACCTAGAGGAGAGTAAGACTGATTCAGTTTTGCAGAAGAATCAGAGTTTTCTTTTAGGTGAAACCCAAGAACTTGATTGAAAAAGTATAATGACATTGATTTAGACTGTTGAGACCATTTTTGCCTCATGGTTCTTGATTGTATTCTGGATAGGAGAGGTTGCCGGATCGCCAGGTTCTGGGTAGGTGAGGTGCTACCAGGCCTTCCTTCCTTCAGGGCTGCCCACGTGTGAGTCCTCCTTTTCTAACGGCTCTGCCCCCTGGACCTACAGCAGACTCAGGGCTCCCATATCGTAAAACGCTGTTTTCCATACGACTTCTCTTCTTTCCTTCATCACTGAACCTCGTCAAAGACTCATTACACCTGCGACCCACTTCATGACCCACTGCCCCTCTCCACTCCTTAAACCATGATTAGTTTAAACATTCCCTCCCACGCTTTGCTGCCAAATGGACGCCAGTGACTGTTGTCTAATTAGATTGTTCTGGGTCTTCCTTCTCTGTCTCTAGACGATACTGTCATTACTTCATCTTGCAGTGTTCTTGTCTTTGGACCCTCCTCTCTCACCCTTTTCGTCTTTTCCTGGTGGCTTCTTCTCTGCTTCCATTATTACTGACTTTTCCTTTTTCTGTCCTCCAAACGTAGAAGTATTTCCCAAGTTCCTTCCCCGGTTCCTCCACCAAGAACTCCTACTCTCTCTTTCATTTTTAGAAACTTCTCTATACTTTTTTCCTCAGCAAACATCCACTCCCTTTTCTTTAATTACCCCTGCTTTGAGCGTGACTCCTAGATTTATAAAATTAGTCTCTACCTGGGTACACAGCCATCTCATTCCCACCTGCCTGGTGGCTATATCTACATACATGAGCGGCCAGCACAAACCAAACTAGTCAAAGTCAAACTCATTATGTTCTCTTGCAAATGATCACTTCCTGATGATTTATCTTTCAGCACCCTAGCTTGATACTTTGGATTTGTCTTTGTTCAGTGGCTTTCTAGAGGCTTTTCTGTCTGCCAGCCCTGCTTCTTCAAGAACTGTCCCATCCTAGCTACATGGCCACAGTCTTACAGGGTTCAACCTTCTCTGGCCTCAGATGATTGGCTAAAGGGTGGATCCACAGTATGCCTGTGGAGAGCAGCAGTACACGGTGGTTGATGGCTTGACCCTGAAGTAAACGGCAGGATTTTAATCAGTAGGTTACTATCCTCTAGGTAGGTGACATGGGTTTCTCTGATGATAAAGTACCTACTTCATTGGACTGTTAATGAGTATCAAGTGAGATAATACATGTAAATTACCATGGAAAGCAGTTATTTCCTGGGATGTTTGGATTTGAGAAGAAAGCAATGTCTGTTTGTTATTTCCTCTCAGTGGTAGAACTTGAAAGACATAAACCTCAGGAGGTATTAGTGACCACGTCTGCCACGTGGAAAAAGCTCCTCTGTAAGATGGAAAGTTGGTTGACAACAGCTTGCAGGAAGGATGGTAGGTGAGAGATAGGATGGCATTTGGGTCCCTGCTTCTAGTTGGCTCTAAGTGCTCCCAGGGCTGGGTTTCAGCCCCCCTTTGGATTTTGTGAACTCTTTTTGCCTAAGCTAATTCAATTTAACCTTCTGTTATCTGGCTGTAACCAGGAGTAACACCTTTAGCTCCCAAGTTCTTCTGATTACCAGGTCCTAAAGATTCTGAACTATCTGTGGCTTGGTGTCCTCTTGTCCATTTCCACTGCTTCCTTCATTTTTCTGGGCAGTGCATATACCTGCTAATCGATCTCTGTACCTACAGTCTAACCTACAGTCTCATTTAAAAATAATGTTTTCTCAACTGCTACTTGAGCATGCCACGCTCTTTCTCCAGAACCTCCTAGGAATCTTCACTGTCTTCTGAGTAAAGGATAATTTCCTACTGGTGGTTTTACTTACCTTCTCAAGCTTCTCTCCACCCTCCCTGCCCTGCCAGCTACTCGCCACTTTTTACACTGCAGCTAAATAGAATGACTTGCTCATAATCACTCTAGACTGGGCTCTCCTCTGTGTCATTGCTCACACTGCTGGTTTCCATCAGTCCCCTCAGCTTTTCTGCCATCATTTCTATAAAAGCCTCACCACCTGCATAGCCTACACTAAATTTCATTGTTTTTTCCAAAAGACTTGTCCCCAAGCAAAATGACATCTCTTGAACGATTAGATGTCTCATTTATGGTGTTTGACTCTGTTTTCTACTATAACTGTTTGTGTGCATAATTTATTTCTTCCACTAAGTACCTAGAGGACCAGTGTCTTACTTGCCACTACATAGCTACTACTGCGCTATGCTACTACATACAGGGCATTCAAAAAACATTTTTTTTTTTTTTTTTTTTGCAGGCCTCTCACTGTTGTGGCCTCTCCCGTTGTGGAGCACAGGCTCCGGACGCGCAGGCTCAGCGGCCATGGCTCACGGGCCTAGCCGCTCCGCGGCATGTGGGATCTTCCCGGACCGGGGCACGAGCCCCTGTCCCCTGCATAGGCAGGCGGACTCTCAACCACTGCGCCACCAGGGAAGCCCCAGAAAACATGTTTTTGAAGATAATTGAATCAAGAAATAATGTTCTCTGTTAGATTGGGACCAAAGTTGAATGTATGTATTTGTGAATGTGTGTCCATGCGTGTGTGTGTTGGGAGAGAGAAACAAAGAAACAGAGAGAGAGAGACATATTTGAAGAACAGAATTAACTTGCACACCACAGATGAATTCAAGATGCATACAATTTGGCCAGTGACGCCAATTCTGCCTTGTACTGCTATTTCTGTTTGTCACTATGGCAAAACTGATTTAATATTTTTTTACCTTAGTTCATATTCTGTATAATTCTTCTCTAAGTTTCTATATGTTCTATTTTTATTAAGTATTATAATTTTATAATTCAATGTCCAACTTTAAAAGATAATCTAAAGCATTTTTTTTGCCTTATTATATATGGTTCTTAATGTAAGTATAGGAAAGGCAAATTGTGCTTTTAGTCAAAATCAGTAAAGTTTATTTTATTTATTTATTTATTTTTGTTGGAGTATAGTTGCTTTACAATGTTGAGTTAGTTTCTACTGTACAGCAAAGTGAATCAGCTATACATATACAAATAGCCACTCTCCTTTTAGACTTCCTTCCCAGTTAGGTCACCGCGGAGCACTGAGTAGAGTTCCCTGTGCTATACAGTAGAAAATCAATAAAGTTTCAAACCGTGTTTCCTATTAGCTTAGCTGATTGCATACTCAGTTTAATAGTCATCTAGCAAGTGATGACTAGATATGCAGGAGTTTTATGTAACATATTCAATACTTACTTTTTCAAAGAATCTTTCCATTTCTCCTCTGTAACATATTTCAGGATAAACTGATCCTTTAAATGAGAACTAAAAAGAGTAAGAAAGCATTGGTATTCTGGAAAAATTTTAATATTATTAAAAATAATTGCCCCCAAAATAAAGTCTTTTGCTTAAAATACATAGATGGTATGTATTTTTCCTTTTTATTCAAATATTAACAGTTATTTTTCAAGAGGAAAAACTTCTGCATAACAAAAATATCGAGCAGGTCATCATGGTTTACTAATAGAAATTGTGATTATCGAAATCTACATCTATGGGAAATGTGTGCACATTCCGTTTTATTGAGGTGTGCCATTTGTAAGTCTTTATCTCATTTCCTGCTTAAGTGCCTTCCTCTTTAATGTCTACCCAAGGCAGGCAGTCAAGTAAAAAGCCGGAAACCAGAAAGTAAGTGGAATCATATAGAAGATGAGCTTTATGATTACCCCAATTCCATTCTTAAGAATACTCATTCCAGATGGATTAGAAGAACAGCAAGCTATAATGAAAAACTAGTTCAAAAGAATCTGAGCCATTGTATAATGTCTACACTTGGCCTTGAAGGGGAGCAAAACTTTCCCCCTACTCTCTTGTGATCTCCAGCTAGGCCAGGGAATTAAGCTGACATAAAACAAATTAACAGGAGAAAAGTATACAAATTTTATTTTTACATGTACATGGCAGCCTTCATGGGAAAATGAAGACCCAAAGAAGAGGCCAGGCCTAAGTGTTTATATACTAGGTTGAACAAAGAAAGTTGTGGAAAAGTAACTAACATATATGGGGAGAGCAAAGGAAGATCAGAGTTATTTTAACAAGGTCTGTTTGTACAGAGTGCTCTTGGCCTCCACTCCCCGTCTCTGGTGGTAAGAATGTTCCTTTCCTCCTGGTACCAGGAGGGCATCTTTCAAAAGGGAGTTTTATCTTCTGCTTTGGGGAAGAAAAGGGGAGTGAGGGGCTTCCCTGGTGGTGCAGTGGTTAAGAATCCACCTGCCAATGCAGGGGATACAGGTTCGAGCCCTGGTCCGGGAAGATCCCACAAGCTGCGGAGCAACTAAACCCGTGTGCCACAACTACTGAGCCTGCACTCTAGAGCCCGCGAGCCACAACTGTTGAGCCCACGAGCCACAGCTGCTGAGCCCGTGCATCACAACAACTGAAGCCTGCACGCCTAGAGCCCATGCTCCGCAACAAGAGAAGCCACCGCAATGAGAAGCCCGTGCACCACAACGAAGAGTAGCCCCCGCTCGCTGCAACTAGAGAAAGCCTGCACACAGCAATGAAGACCCAACACAGCCAAAAATAAATTTTAAAAAAAGGGGGTGGGGGGAAGGTGAGAGCATCCTTCTTGTACCTGCTGTTTTTCAAGCACCTGCAGCTAGAAATAATCCTTATGCCCAATGGCATACTTTGGGGAGGCATATTCTGCCAGTATTCAGTCTTCGTGTGGATTCTGATGGGGTTTTAAAGGTGAAGAGAGCAAAATGACCAAGCTTTAGGAAAAAAGGGCCTGTATAGGAAGGGAGATTGGGAAGAATGTAGAACACTCTTTTATTGGCATTGGCTCTTCCATGTAGGTCTCCAGATGAGCAAAGACTGAGGGAAGATAAACTAAAGACCAGTAACTAACAGTGAAATAGGGCTGGTTCATGCACATGTCTCTGTTCTGGTTAGTATTGACCTGAGAGCCCCGCATAATTATTCATTCTAGAGAATGAACTGTAGCCAAACTCCAAATCCTTTTTTTTTCCTTTGTAATGGGTTATGTTTTTTAAAGAATGGGTTTACTTCTTTCCTTCTTATTTTTACTTGGGGAAATAATAAAACATTAAGTAATGATACCATAGCAAACACTAAAGCAATCGTCAGGGGAAGCAGACAAGGAGTAAGCCAGATCTCCCACCTGATATAAAACATTACTTGATAAACCAGAAAAAAAAAGCATGCAGATTACTGGAAGTGGACAGCATTTCAGGTTTTGGCTTTTCCTTCTTGCATGTTTAATATACAAAATGTGTGCTTGCTACAGTACTGCTCTAAGCAGAAACCCTTAGGAACGGGACACAGGCCAAACACAGACCATATTCCCTGTGACTGTAGCCATCTGATAATTTGTTCTTGTTTTCTTTGCCTTCTTTTGCACACAGTCTGTTTCCCAGAGATCTCTGTTTATAAATACTAAGAGAAGAAATAATTTATTATGACCATTGACTTCTTTCCTCTAAATGACTACTGTAACAACTTGAATTACCTTGAAGTATAAGAGGAGCTTTCTGAGGGCTGCACACCAGGCTATGGAATTTTGCTTCCATGGCAGTTTTGATGACAATGACCACTACCAAAGCCGCTGGCTAATCACTGAAAATAGAGAAGAAAAACTACTTTTTAGAAAATAACTTCTTTTGATTGTGTTTTCTAATCTTTTTTAACATACCACCCTCAATCTAAAGTAAAAATTTGCAGTTTAGAGTATTTTTGTTAGTTTTCCTGAAAAGTAAATCCAAAAATGTTTCCCATTTTCAACCTAACTGAATATTATTATAATTCTAATATAGCAGTTTTGGTTATTCATAAAATAAAGATAGCATAAGAGAGAAAAATAAAAACAAAAGGAGAAAAAATGGACATATCACAAAGTGATTTTGGTAATGATGTTGCCTTATATTTGTATGATTCTTTGTATATTTTAACGTATGTTCATATACAGTGTCTTTCTGAGCTTTACAACAATCCTCTCTACTATAAAGAGTTTCAGACATGGAACCCAGAAGAAATAACTTGTTTACCCCTGTAATTGGGCAACAAGAAAAAAAATAGCCAGAAAATAGTATATCTAAAAAAATGTTCATTTGATGACAGTTTTTTTATCTTGGGAAAAGATATACCACAAAACTGAAGCTGGAATAGAGCAGGTTACTTAAGGGACTGGTAATGCAAGACTTTTGATTTGCTCCAAAAGAAGGAATCAGCATTTGTATATGCTCCAACAATAGCCTCATGTTGCTACTCCTTTTCCAACATTCAAAATTCCTTTCAAATTCCATGTTCCCTTAAACTATTTCTATTACAACTTCATCAAACTCAAGAATCTTCCGAGCTTGAACGGCACCCATTTCTCCTCTTTCTTTTTCTCTTTTCTTTCCTTTTTTATAAAAATTTGCCCTTTTTCTTCTTTAAATGCTTTAAGAAACTTCTTGTCACGTTTGTTATAGATGTGGGGGAAAAAAGAAAACTGTAGAGTTCTCCTTTTCTTTTTTTACTGATAATTGGTACTGTATACTGTCTTTGAATTTTCTGTGCATTGATAAACAATCATAATCAGATTGGAAACTGTCATATAGTAATTCTTGGAAAGAGTACAAAAGATTAGTGTGTACTTTTGAGAAAAAAAATCCCCAAAGCACCGAAATTCCAAGTATTGTTACTTCTATTAAGAATCAGAGGGGGACTTCCCTGGTGGCACAGTGGTTGAGAGTCTGCCTGCCAATGCAGGGGACACGGGTTCGAGCCCTGGTCCAGGAAGATCCCATGTGCCGTGGGGCAACTAAGCCCGTGCGCCACAACTACTGAGCCTGCGCTCTAGAGCCCACGTGCCACAACTACTGAAGCTCATGCGCCTAGAGCCCGTGTTCTGCAACAAGAGAAGCCACCACAATGAGAAGCCCGTGCACTGCCACAAACAGTAGTGCAACTAGAGAAAGCCCGTGCACAGCAATGAAGACCCAAAGCAGCCAAAAAAAAAAAAAGAATCAGAGGGACTTCCCTGGTGGCACAGTGGTTAAGACTCCGTGCCCCCAATGCAGGGGGCCTGGGTTCGATTCCTGGTCAGGGAACTAGATCCCACATGCCGCAACTAAGGAGCCCACTTGCCACAACAAAGGAGCCCGCCTGCCACGACAAAGACCCAGCGCAACCAAATAAATAAATAAATATTTTTTATAAAAAGAATCAGAAAATCCCTTTGCTCCACACATCAGAATTACTGTCCAAAAGGGGAGCAGTCAGCACTTGTTGGAGGTTAGAAAGATGAAAATGATGACAGTTTATTTTGGTGATTTTCTTGCATATTTATTTTCAAAAACTGGCAGAAAAACAAGAGAATTGAAGTTACAAGGAAAGAGAAACTGACTGGTGTCATTGGACACTTTGATAGCAGAATATGCTGTCATTTAAAAAATTCAGCATCCCAGTATTATATTTTTGATGAAATCATTTTAATGAAATATTGGGATTAACATGTACACACTACTATGTATAAAAAAGATAACTAATGAGAAGCTACTATATAGCAGAGGGAACTCTACTCAATGTTCTGTGGTGACCTAAATGGGAAGGAAATCCAAAAAAGAGGGGATATATGTATACGTACAGCTGATTCACTTTGCTGTACAGCAGAAACTAACACAACATTGTAAAGCAACTATACTCCAATAAAAATTAATTTAAAAAAAAGAAAGAAAAGAAAACAGAAGTACTAACACTGCCACTTCATTCCCAACAGTTACATCCGTCTATCATCAGATTTCTTCTCTGTGTACATGAGTGACTAGAATGTTTCCCTCTGAGTCAGACATTGGAGCAAGCTATGCAATGCATTTGTGTAGAAACTTCTAGTGCATCCATTGGATATATTCCATTCTCCACCATTAATCATTTAATGGGGTTCCTAAAGTATTTTGAAATCTATAAACAGGAAACCCTGTATGTAATACTTTCTTCTGGTCTTTGTCTTCTTGTAATATTATACTTCAAAAGTAATTCCTAGTAGTCAGATGACTAAATAAACACAAGATTCTGGAATTAAAAGAATAAATTAAAAGGATGGATTACAGGATTAACTCATTAGGCTGAAATACTAAGGAAACTAGGCCAACTGGGACCTCATTTTCTGTCCCATGGCATTTCGTGATTTCTAATCTTTTGGCAACACATTGTTCCAACATGCCTGGGCATGTTTGGGAGACAGGATTTGCTTCAAGCCAAGCTCCCCAAGGACTCCTGATAATTCAATGGCGGGAGAGGGTGGGAATTGTCAGTAGAGCTGTAGACATACTTTAAGTTCAAGCTGGGATCCCCACTCCACACAGATACATGGAAGCTGTTATTATACCTACACTTATTACAGCTACTTCTCATCATATCTATTTTTCACGGTATGCCCACACATAGGAGTTATTATATCTAAATAAACCTGACAGAGACCAGGAACAAGTTGAATTTGTTAATTCTACAATAATCTTAACTGTTAAGGCGATCTAGGCTCTTGACAGACATCTAGATTCTTGAGAGGGAAAGATGCTCTTAAGATTTTTATAATTGCTTATTCTTAATAATTTTAAATGTTATATATAAGCCTTAGTGTCTTACTAAACATATCCTACTGCCATGAAAGAGAAAATGCCATCAGCACTAGAAGTCTTAAGATAAAGGGAACATAGCTATTCAAACAATACCATGGTGCAAAGCTTAAATTTCAAATAGACACAATTATCTGTGTCCCTCATCAATGTGATGAACATCTAGTGTGTGTGTGTGTGTGTGTGTGCGCGTGCGTGCACACGTGCACATGCATGCATGTGTGCATGTGTGTATATAATAGTACACACTATTATATACGTACTGATCTATAATATACATTGTATATAAATATAACATTTATATACAATGTATATTATAGATCAGTTCGTATCAGTTCTTACATAATAGTATATATTGTAGGAATTGTATTAAAGTATAAAAAAAGTTGCATTATAGTGTAGAAATTATAAGCAGTGGAAAGGCTGTTTACAGCATTGCTTTCAACGTGGAACATCCCCAAAGTTTGGGGCTATTAGAAGTGTCGCAATTGCTATCATAAGGCTCACCTCCATAAATTTGCTACATTGCTTGATCTTCCCAAAATGCACAAACTGAAATCCTAAGCCTCAATGTGATAGTATAAGGACATGAGGCCTTTAGGAGGTGATTAGGTCATGGAGGTAAGGTAAAGCTCTCTTATAAAAGAGACCCCAGGTACATACCTTGCCCTTTCTGCCAGGTGAGGACACAGTGAGAACACATAGGCAGTCTATGGACCAGGAAGCAAGCTCTCACCAGACATTGAATCTGCCAGCACTTTGATCTTGGCCTTCCCAGCCTTCAGAACTGTGAGAAATAAATTTCTGTTAATAATAGAAATATATTCTTTTATAGCAGCCTGAACCAAGACATGTTGGTACTGTTTTTTTTTTAATTTTTTTTTATTCAAACAGAAAGTCACAAAAATTATAATCATTCTCATCAGTTCACTCAGTCCCATGTAATTATTTTTTCATCTTGATCTTTTCTTAGAATTTTTATGAATTCATCAGTTTTCCATTAGAGTTCTGAAAACGCTTATTCATTCAGTTCAGCAGTATAGTCAGTTACCAGAAACCTGTACTTGTCAGAGTCTTTTCCATGATGCAGGTGAAAATGAAAGGATGAAGATGAAACGCTTTTATAGGAACATTTTTGCAAAAGCACCAGAGTACACCCAGAACTGTCTTAAAAGACAAAAGACTTAAAAATGACCACAGTTAAAGATGTGATGAAAGTTCATAATAATGCAATTGACAAGGAAATGTAGTTATTTCTGAGATATACATTTTAAAGTAATAACTAGAATTATGACTTATAACATTATACCAGAACATATAAGATTTTTAGGAATTTCATGTAATGTCTGAAACATTTATATTAAAATATTTCCATACAAATAACCCAAAGAAAGTTTAGTATTAGTTTTTGTTTGTCTTTTATACAGCAGGTTCTTATTAGTCATCAATTTTAT